GAACCCCGTGCCGCGTGTAGCCGCGCGGCACGGGGTTCGAACTAGCCGGCATTTAAAAATGGCGGCGCCCGGCTTATGCAAATGAAGCCCGGGAAATTCAAATCCCGGGCTTCATTTGCAAGTGCGGTGTGCCTACATTACCCCGCTAGTTTGAATTAGGAGGGTAGTGTAGACATACCCTGTGGCTTTTCAGTTTAAATGTAGTAGGAGCTGGGCTGTCTGCACGCTCAGCTCCTTCTACATGAAGGCTGTCTCTATACTGGCGCTATCTTGCGCCAAAGCAGCCGCTCTTGCGCAAAAACTTGCTGCCTGTCTACACTGGCCACGTGTTCTTGCGCAAGTAAACTGACGTTCTACTGTATGAAATCAGGGCTTCTTGCGCAAGAACTATGATGCTCCCACTCAGGAATACGCCCTTTTGCACAACTGTTCTTGCGCAAGAGGCCAGTGTAGACAGGCAACATGAATTTATTCGCAAGAAAGCCCTATGGTTAAAATGGCCATCAGAGCTTTCTTGCGCAAGAGAGCGTCTACACTGGTATGGATGCTCTTGCGCAAAAGCACATGTCAGTGTAGACGCTCCCTTGCACAACTACTGTAATGCAAGAACTCTTGCGCTAAAGAGTTTTTGTGCAAGATCACACCAGTGTAGATGTAGCCTGAAACTGCAGAGCCACAGTAGTAGTAGCTCCTGGACACAGTACGAGCTGGGACTGAGTGCCTTCCTTTATCGACTAATATGTAATTGATACAAATTGTATCGACTACACGATTAGCTGATTACCCACCTCTTAACATCATTAGTATGAACCAGATGTCTCTCTCTGTTTTGTGATGAAGAATTTTATATGAATTTCAATAATTCATTTAAAGCCTTCCTTTATTATGTGTGTTTTAAGTTTCACTCATTCAGACTGTTGTGACTTGGCAGCCCTTCACTCACTCTGGGCAGTATTACATATCTTCAGAATAGGAGTCAGATCAGCACTGTCTGTTAGCTCCTCACATTCATGAAGGCTTCATTTATTGTCAAAGAAGAAAAAACAAAAAAACCTGGGGGCTAATTGCCCGAAGCTGGTTACTTCTGCTGGCAGCTAAACATCCATCAATAAAGCTCATTTCAAGACTCAGTTCACATGGATTGTTCTTCCGTCCCCGACTACTGCTGCTCCACTTAACATTACTGCATTAAATGTGCAAGCAGGCAGAATAAATGTACAAAGATCCTGATCTCTAAAATGCTGGTGTGCAGTGCTTCAGAGGATGGTTCTATGGTTTCACTTTAAAGATTAATTCCTGTGTGGCCTACAGGGAGCCAGCTCTTGCAGAATATAGTGTTTCTTTCTGACCAGGCTTCAGGGCTGTTTGTCTTCACTAAACACACATCTGCCATAGTGCAATGCCTGAACCTTTTCTCTGCATGGAAGATTCATTGATGAAAGACAGGACTTGGAAAGATGCAGAAAGATGAGTGAACATCAATGTAACTATTAAAATCACCAGCCTTGCTGATAAATTACCTTTGAAATCATACACAATCCCTGGTTAGCTTACAGTGGGGACTTGAATAACTGTGTTCTGCTACACAGAGTCCAGTAAATCATGGTCACTATGATTTATTGGAGTCTGCAGGGAAGATGTTAAACAAAAAACCAGCCAGCCTCATGTTACACATTTTGAGGCTGATGGCAGTGTGGACAGTGTGATTGTTCTACAGTGTGCACCTTACAGTCAACGGCCTTTTTCACAAAGGAAACAAAATAGCAATATTTATTCCTTGAAAAACAGATAACTACA